CTAGTGGCAGGGTCATGTGATTCCTTTTATAAACATGACTGTTACTTGTGAAAGTATCTGAGGACAGTGTTCAAATTGTGAGGCAGGGGTGGGTAGTATGGTGGGGGTTAGTCCTCAGCAAGTAAGAAAGAGCTTTTGGTCTGGACAGCTAACTGCAGATGCCTTCCCTATCCTCCCTGCCTCAGACTAACCTTAGTGTAAATTCCCTTTGCTTCCCCTTTAAAAAATTCAGTTACCACCACAAATCCCCCATGCAGTCCCTCGTGTTATTGTGTGCCCTCCAGTTGATTCTGACTCATAGTGACTCTATAGGACAGAGTAGAACTGCCCCATAGGATTTCCTAGGCTATAATCTCTACGGAAGCAGATTGCCAGGTCTTTTCTTCTGTGGAGCAGCTGGTGGGTTCAAACTTCTGACTTTTTGTTTAGCAGCCAGTGTTGAACCACTGCGCCAGCAGGGCTCCTTTTCTTTGTATTAGGCTCTCTTTTCTACCTCTTTATCTCAGCTAGGGAGGCTTCCTCTGCTGACTTGAGTTTTGTAGCTTGCCCTAGTTATCCCCTCTGTGCCATGATTGGAGTCCTGCCAGCTGCATTTCTGCTTTCCTCCTCGTTCCCCTTCTTGTCTGGCAGTGGGGCTTCACGGAGCCTGTAGTATCACAGTGGGAAGTTGGAACATCTACCTCTGGGGAGCACCTCAGTGCAGAGCTGCAGGTTATTGCTTCTGTTCTGTCCTCTTACGTCCTCATATTTCTGGTTTCCTACTCTAGAGCCCCCTTCAGCAGAAAGTTGGATGTTAGAAGTGGGAGGGATCCAGAGGCTAGAATCTCTCACCCAGCAGTACCCTCCTCAGTGGACTGAAACCCACAGAACAAGTGAATCCGATAGGCCAGACTGAAGAATGTTCAGAGAAGAATTTCAGAATGTGACTGTCGAGGGAGAGAAAAGAGAAGTGTGTGAGCAGTTTGGCTTGGTGCTCACACCCTTGTACTGCTGGTAGAAAAGTCAGAGAAGCAAGTCTTGTGCCCAGTGCTACAGTTCTCTTGTAAAGCTGCCTTCAGTGTTCACTCAGTAATGTTCACTCTGATGGGATTTTATTTTTCTAAAATTCTCTCCTTGCTTGAATCTAGGTGTATAAATAATTTCCTTCTCAGTTAAAACGTATCAGTCTTAAAAAGTAAATCTCCTGTATCATTTAAGTTACAGAAACCCAAATTAAAAAAAGAAAACCACCCAAAACTTAGAATTTTGGTTAAACACACAGGAGAGCTGTTAACTGGCTTTTTAATCTTTTGGTTGTATGTGGCAGACTCAACCATCCTAAAGGAAAAGATAGCTTATAGTAAAGATATGCAGGATTGGAACTAGCACGCCATCAGGAACTGAACCTACTTTGTCCATGTGTCTCATGAGCCACTTGAGTTCTCACAGTGGGGCTGCCACTCTTTTCTCTCTACTAAATGCTTAACCATACCTTTTGTTTCATAACTTGTGTGTGCAAACAACCTATCATGTACCCCTTAGGTGCCCTTTTTGCAACTTCTGAAAATACAGAACTCCTTCATACTACTCGTATTAACTCGAGAGAGAGAGAATACAGTCCCTCAGATCTCTGGGTCAGGCCTGGCGTAGGTCATCCAGTCAGGGGTTCCCCCCGCCCCCCGAGAGAAGGCAGGGCTACACAGTCCAAGTAGGGCTGCCTCTTCAACGATGTCTGTGGATAGGCAGTTTCCCCCTGCAGGGGAATTTGAAAGTAGACACTGCCACTGAGCCTGTCTGGTACCACACATAGTGTTAGACATGGAGCTCTTTAAGCTCCTCCAACTCTTAAAAAGTGAGCAACTGAATGCCTTACCTAGAATGTGGTTAGTGTATATATAATTGGGGTGGGGAGAGGGGAGTTTATAAAGCAGTAAAGCATTAGCTCTGTCCCTTTATCTAGTTCTAATAGAACAGTGCTGATAAGTTTCAGACATTCAGTTTCTCTGTGAGGCAGTTAGGGAAAGATGAAGGAACTGAGCTGAGTACTTTCTTTTGAACAAAATCATGGGTAATGTCCAGTGAGAAAGCTGGGACTAGAAGTGGTACTCCCTAGCATCCAAAGCACACTTCAATCTTGCCGCTCCATAGTAATGTCGTTTTTTTTTTCTTTCTTCTTGGGGAGGAGGCAGTCTGGTGTCATGGAGAGTATGGGAACTTCAGGATAAACATAGTAAGCAGACTGAATGTACACTTTCTTTATTACCTCCCCTCTCAAGAAACCTAAAAGGATAAGGAACACGATAAAAAAGTTAAAAACCCACAAGTCAAGGAATGGGAGAGGAGATAGTCAAGAGGTAATGATTTTAGAAAGCATTAAATGAGTGGTAGAGGAAGCCAAATTCTAAGTGCCTGCAGACGGTGGAACTGGAACTTAGACAGAGAAAGGCCTATAAGTTGGAGGACCAGAGACATCATTGTGTGCTTTGCTGAACTTGCTTATGTAGGAAAGACTTGGCTAGCAACATGGGTAGGAGAGAAACCAAAGTCTGGAGTTCTAGGTATGCCAGCTGTGGAACTCAGGTGACCCAGGGTCCAAGAAACAGTGTTACCTTCATGGGCTCTACTGAAACAGAATAGTCTTCATAGGGGAGGGCAGGGCCTTCACAGAGGCACACTGGGCACCTGGGTCCCAGGGAGACACAGTGCAGACAAATAGGAAGCCTACTCAATTAACCAACCACATCCAGAGCAAAGGATTGTTCTGTGAGCACGGATGGTGGTGACAACACGGCCATTAGTCACCAGAGGAGCCAGACCCTGGGGCATAAGGTTGGGTGTATAATCACATCTGGGCATCCCAAGTCATTCAGAGTGAAATAATCGCTGGGTCAACAGTTGCTGTTTCATAGGTAGGGGAAACATAAACTTGGGTAGATATCTAAGAAGAAAACCAGCTACTTAGAGGGATAAAGGTTTCAGCTGAAATGTGTTGGCACTTTTTTGATTACTGATCCACAGTGTGAATGTTAATCTTGCAGGATATGCTGGGGAGGTAAACTGGGCAAAGTAATACTTGGCGTATGTCTGAAGACTACCTAGAGTCAAAGTCGGGGCTCTTTGGAAGGAAAATGTCAAGTTGTCAGACAGATTTTAGAATCATAAGTCAGAAAAGATCTTGAAAGTTCTCTGACCTTGAGGTTGGGAGTACAAAATGAGTGGCTTAAGTCTACTTTAGAGTTGTTAACTGCTTTTTCTCGATTATGTCCCTAGCAGAGATGGGTACAGTCCTATTTGTTATTCCTAGGAATATATTTTTATAGTCTGAATAACCTGTGCCTGGAGATTTTGCTAACCCTTCAGTGTTTCTACATGTGTTCCCTGCTGTTTTTTTCTGTTCTTTTTGAGTACTTTTGAAATCAGGGCTGATCAGGGACTTTACTGTTCATAGCTAAATATTAGCTTTAACTTTATGCTTCTGTGAAGAATGGGGACAGGGATAACCTGGCGGCTAAAATGACTTGCAGAGCCATTAGGCTAGTTGTGTCGCATGATCACTATCTTTGTATTTAAGGGATTTCCCACCTCATTCATGGTTTGACCCATTCAGCTATAACTTGGCTTAGTAAAGGAGTGCCTATGTAAATATGTTTATGCCTGGCACAGGGTAGGTACCTGATAAATATTTGAATACATTAACGAGTGTGAATACCATTATAACTACGTAATGAAACAATCAGTGTGGTTCATCCCAGTTCAACCTAAATTTTTTCTTAAAGAAATGCCAGATGCCTGCTTTGCTTCCACCAGAACCAATTACTTCCCCACTCCAGAATCTTGAGACAAACCTCTTGCTATTTACTTTTGTAACAGCCTGGGAAAAAAAGGGGGGAGCTGGAGCCACAGATGAACAGTAGCACTTAAAACTAGCTAATAAG